AGGTTGGGATTTTACGGTGAGGCGGGCTGCAGTCAGAAACTAACTGAACTGAAGGTGCAGCGCTAAAATTTTTCAAGATAATTGGTTATACCACGAGGATGTAGGAAAAAAATTGGGGGAAATCTAGGCTGAGACTCAATGCACTACTGTCAATTTTAATGTTTTACCTATTGTGTAATAATTGTTTGTTTTATTCTTTTCTTAAGCAAGTGCAGTATTTTCCTCAATTCGTTGTCCCCTATCGTGTATTTCGAGTATCATGAATAGATAATCAAGAGGTTTAGCACATTTTAATATCGATTTCACGTATGTCTTGTACTACGCCCGGTACAAAAGGACACTTTCTGAAAGTGAAAAGGAACTTTTCGATTACAAAGACTAACAGCAAAAGTTGCTGCATATTCTGATGTTGGTAACGAACGTGTTTCGCAAGCTGGTGTACTTAGTTTCTTGTCATGTGCAATTGTTCTTCTAATGCCTATAATATTAGCCCAAGTAGCTTTGTTTACTACTAAATAGGATATTAGCGGTTATTCCCATTCACTGTCTTCGGTTCTTAAACCATTAGGATATTATCTCTTCTGCTATCTATCTTGCCCTGTAAAATTAGTTGGATGAGATAGTATCTTCCATTTCTCATCACACGTCCAAAGTATCCAAATTTTCTAGTTTTAATGTTGTTCAAAACTTCCATTTCCTTCTACATGCGACCAGGAACGTATGATTCATCGATTGTGGTTTACATTATTTCCAAAAGTGTGTCAAATACGTTTAATTTAATTTCAAATAATGTAATCATGAAAATTTAAAGATTGTTACATTATAATCCCACATCCCAATGATTTAGTGTCCCTTTCGGGAATTGTTTGCTCCCACTTTGACGGTTACCATAACAACCATTTATATTTAGGTAACAGTGCTCGCCCTATTCGTCCCTTGTCTAAATGCCTATTTGCATCACAACAGAAGCAATTTTATGAATGATTTTGTTGGATGGCGCACTAAATATTTCAATTTTCTTGAGAGTTAGTTTTGGTTAGATTACAAAATAATGCTTTAATAGACGAGAAAAAGGAAATTTTTTGGTATACAGTTTTTGAGCTAACGTATCTTTTTTAATTCGGAATACGCTGTATTTTTCATATTAGTGGCAATAGGCTGTGCAAATTTTTCTGTTTTCAAAATGATGAAGAACAATCGCCACTCTTTGTTTTGCTATATGTAAATCAAATTCTAAGAAAGTCTCCTTATGTGCAAAACTTAATCAAATTCGTCACATTAGGAACCTTTCAGAGAAGTTTTGTACAGTATAAACCAATAAAAATGTAAAAACCGCTCTTGCGAAATGAAAACACCGCCACCATTTTTTTTTTTCGAAGGAAACTCTATAAGAATACATAAGCAAGGTCGTTTAGAAAATACCATGCTCAGATCTCACAGACTGGGAGATATGTGAAAAAAAACCATAAAAAAATATAAAAGAAGAACTAGACAAAAAATCTATAAGACGTCGTTAAGCCAATTTCTATTCGATAGATTTCACTTGTTTAACTTTAACGAATGAAAAGTATTGGCTTGCTAAATCAAATATAAATTGTCATGATTATCAAACGAGAACATAAAAACAGAAATAACAGAAAAGAAAATACCGATAATTTCAATAACTCGTACTATAAATTATTGAGATGACTGTCGTAGCTTCCTGTGTACCCAACCTTTTGAGCAAAAGGATTATAAAAACATAAGTGACTAAAAAATGGCAATGTACATAACTTACTGATATTAGCTAATTGTAATGTGTATTATTCTTCAATGTTTTTATATTGTATTCAAAAGTAACTTATTTATTCATATAACCTTAGTGTGAATTGAAAATATTATTTTGTAATTATGTAGTTATTTAATTAGTGAAATAGTATTTACATTAAATATTAAAATATTTTTTATAAATAAAATAACATAGATATACTCTAATTGAAAGTGTAAACTCTTTTTTTTAAATGTCTGTAAAAAATAATTAAATTATTAATTAAATTAAAACTATATGATTTTCGTAAATTTCTTTCAATAAGAGATTTAAATCTATCATCAAGCGAATATACAGTGAAAGGCTGAAATATGGAACAAATTCATTTTAAATAGATAGATAAACAGATAAGACAGAATAAAATAACAGAAATTTAATTTTGAACTGAACAAGTAGCTAGAAAGTTAAATCAGTCAGTCAATAAAGAAAGCAAATACGGCTCATCTAAATGAAACTCAGAGAGTTGAAGGTATAATTTTTATTAGATATCATTACAAGACATATAGTGAGTAAAATTGAGACAAAACAGAGCAGGTAAAAGACCGTCTAGGTTCAGATCAGCTTTAAATAATAATGTTAGCAAAAAGCTTTGGGTGTATTGAGAGAATAAAAGTATCATCCGTCCAAGATTACATTACTACAGGATCTGAACAAAGATAATCTCAACCGTAGACTAGTTTTGTGGAACTATGATGGAAAAATTAAATTCATTTTTTCAGTCAGATACTGTTTTGTGATGAACCTACGTTTTGTTTAAATGGTACGGTAGATAAACAAACTTGTAGGAATAGGGATTCAATTTACCCTCGATGAATTAAAAATAAATGTTTGGCAAGGAAGTTTAAATAACAAAATTATCGATCTAAATCTTATAGCAGCTCGGTATTTACAATTTTTTCAAAACGGCTTTTTTACTGTTTTTAACTGACTGTGAGTTTTATCGTGAATGTCCGTATTCACTTTTGACTTAGAACATTTGAGAGATCGGGTTAATTTTGACTTCATGCAAATAAAACCGAGGGGCTGAAAGTCAAATTTGGAGCTTTAATCATTCGCTGAATTTCCCCTTGTGATTAAATTTGAGGTTGTTCAAAACCGAACATTCTGCGTTTCAGATTTTAAATTAAAAAAATTCTAACAACTGGTCCGACATTTTACACTGGCTGTTGGATCTGCGATGGGTAGGGTTTATAGCTTCAGTAGCAGTAACAGTAAAATTTAAAACTTGAACTAAATAAAAGGCCATTTATAAAAACTTGTCACTTAGTATTAACAATTCAAATATGGTTTATTGCTATATCATACGGTGCTGTTAGATACGAGTTACATTTTAAGCCAACACAGGCACTAAAGCTATTCGAGTTTCGATAATGTGCTGATTTTCGGTGAAACTGAGAAATCGATTCTGACATAATTACTACACTAGTAAAAACGTTCATGTAAATGTTAAAATATTAATGAGTGGAAGAATTTCTTAAAATTCTAAATGCTCTAATATAAGGTCGATCATTAGGAATGTTAAGAAAAGTTAAAATAAATTTTGGGTTTCATTTTTTTATCATAGCTTTTTCCAATTCCATACACATTTTAATAAATTTTGGCATACGCCATCTATTCACCAACAGTCATTTTCTGATGCAGAAGATTTTTCAATATTTTAACCAGTGGTGTCCGCATAGATATTAATAACGCAACAGCCTTATTTTAGAATAAAAATTAATTCTTCTCTTTCATTAATTTTAGGACAGGTTTTTCGTAATTCACGATTAAAAAAATAAAGCATTTAATGGGATATATCCCTATGTGCCTATTTGGAATATTCCCGTCGAGTCCGTCGTGTTACAGTCCAGTCAGAGCAGCTGTGCAGTATGTCTTATTTTGATCTTGACGCGGCTTTTGACACGGATTTCAAAATGAAACAGTTTAAGACACCCAGTAATGAACTAGATAAAGATATCATGTTATGACGTAACTAAAGAATTGCTCTGACAGAACTTTAGTATGGGAGATTATAACAAAGTTCATCGGATAAAAATAGTTTAAGAAATAAACAGCCCTAAAATGAATGCGATTCCAAGAATAGGTCGAAGAGCGGCGCGAAATATATTTCCAAAAATTACCAGTCTACATCTTAAAGAAAGATATTTTATTGACTATATAAAAAATATAAACAAGATCACAATTGGAATAATATGTGGTTTGTGTGAATAATATTAAAATGAACATAGACATGGACAATAGTAACAATAATTTCTTTTTGAAAGGGATTTTAGATACCCATATAGAGAATATTTCAAGTTCTAGAAATGCTTTAATCACAGTTCTATGTTGGAGCAGCTTTTTCTCCACTTATCCACTGTATATTTTGCCATAGCTGTGAATATCGGAAAATAATTTTTATCCTTTGAATTTCTAGCAATTGATGATAAATAAATAATAAAAGTAAAGTTAATATTTTAAATTTTATTTAAAATTACAGTGATCATAATGATCAGCCCCATGAATGACACGACTCCACCTTTTCCGCAACCTGAAAAGCTGCAATGAACTGCTGCACAAAATAACACCCTGTAAGGTGTACATGAAAAAAAAGTTACAAACATCTAGAGCCGTGGTGTAAAAACTGTTTCATTCTTATAATATGACGATAATATTACTCTTCAAAACTCAACATGGTAAGCCCACTGCAAGACATTGTCAATAGTTCGAGGTTATATCCAATAGAGTTACATTTTTTACAATTCGAAGAAAATATTATTTACTTTTTATAAAACTTCTAGATTCCTCCTGGTATTACAGTAGTCTGTGGACGTTTCTTTGAAAAAATATTATTTGTTCTGTTTTACCTTTACATAATGCAGAATAGTTGTAATACTATAATGCATGGGGAGAAATTATAAGATCTTTTTCATAAATTGGTAATTTTATAAGTAGTATTGTTAACTAATCATATTAAAAAACCTTTTTTTAAGTTTTCAATTTTTCTTCTTAAAATCTAAGGATTCGCAGCCCATAAAGCAAATAGACAACAGCTATAGAAATAGAAAATTCAATTTGGTATTTTAAACTATGGTCCCAGAATAATTGGTTTGAAAATCATTTCAAAAGGGCAGGATCTAAAACCCTGTGCCAAATATTATTTCGAAAAGCAACACCGAACACTTAAGCGTAACAGGCCCTTTGGCCCTCTTACCTTGGGCGACATATTCGTTTCGGGACCGTCGTAAACCAACTGATAGCCAAACGGGACATTCCGGGAACTTTTATAGGCGATCGGTTCTCCAAAGTTTGTTTGGCCGTATCCCGATACCGTCTTATGCAATTGGCTCTTTTTTTTAAAGCCTCGCGTATAGATTGTACTCGAGTGATACGCGACACCCGTGTGGAAATTTACACCCCGTCCCATTGCTGTGTGGCCACTGCCTACAATTTTATGTAGGTCGTGCGAATATTACCATAAAAGATGCCTGGTTTAAGTTTTATTGTTATTGCGGTTTAATGAACGCAGAAAAAAGTACCGCGTTTGTTAAAGCGGGGTCGTATTTCTGATATTATTACTTAAGTTGTCTTAAAAAATCGAATGATGTAATATTTCGGATTCACGAGCAAAGTATTTACCGTTTTCTAAAGACGAGGAAAATGAGAACAATTGGGTGACTTTCTATTGAGCAATCCTGTTGGAAAAACCCAACAAAGGACTGAATTAAATTCGTCGTAACTTCGAAGAACGCCTAATGAAATTACAGTTAAAGTTTTTTTCAGAAAAAAAGAGAATTCATTGTTTGGCATTGATAACATTTATTACAAAATTATTTAGTGTTTTCGTCTGACGGTAGTATCTAATGCGTTTAGGTCAATTTATGGGGTATGCCTATTGTTATCAGCAGTACAGTTACACTATGATTTCCTCCAATACCTTCCACATCGTATTTGTTTCATAAAACGATGTTTCTTTAAATGTGCTATGTGTAATAGTTCCTTCTTTATCAAACTATCTTCATATTTAATATTGCTGGTAGCTAACCAGTCAATAATTTCTTGTTCTTCTCCAAAATGAAGTTAGAGTCTTCCCTAAGTGTTGTAGATGATTGCTTGAGTTAACCATAACTACTACTGAATCAACCCCTGGATAGCACTACCGAAAGGTTAGCAAACCTCCTTTTAAAGATCCCTTCTTCTTCTTCATGTGCTAGGCCCGGTACCCCAATGTTAGCAATTACGGCAAAAAGTGCGTCTTTGTCTTTCGCAACCCTAAACAGTTCTACAGTCACCTGAATGCCCGGCAAGGCAAGAGGTGTGCCTTCATCCAGCACCCCTCTTGCCTTCTATTTTCCCATTAGCTGAAGAAGATGGTACTTTTTTGCACGTTAGATCTGACCAGGGTAGGCTCACCTGAATACGTCATCCTTAACCAGAAGTAAGTCCCAGGAGAGGCGGCATTTTTCGATGAATCCACATTTCAAACGCTTCTAACCGATTTATTGAGCTGACCCTTAAGTTCCAGCATTCTACGCCACATACATAAGAAGTGAATAAAACACTTTATCATACGCTAGCGCAATTTTAGAAAGAAGAATGAATTCTTTGCAAAGTTCTTCTTGCCATTTCAACTTCTGGATCAACACATTCGATTACTCTCCCGTCAAGACTTGGCTGTTCGTCCTCGAAGCTATTCCGTCAAAAAAATATTTAATTGACTCCGAACTGTTGACTAACTATATTGATTGATTTTGTTGAATAATTGTTGTGGGCCATTCATGGTCTCGCTTATGTCGTGTCGTCAGCATATCTAACCGTATTCATTAAGATACCGTTAATCTTAACTCCGTACTCCACATTTCCGCATTTTCCAATGCTTCTTTAAATGTTTTATCGTGGTAAATATTAGGCAAGAGCATGTAGTCTTGTTGAATTTTCACACTAGGTATAGCTGTCTCTAGCGCAGATTTTTGATTATTCGGATGTCCTTACCATCTAACTCAACGTTACGCAGCATATAGAGTGATGCACCCCGTCAAATATCTTCGTGTAATCTATAAAACAAGCAAAAACATCCTTGTTTTGATCCTGGCACTTCTGAAGAACAAAGTCTCCAGTGTTCCAAATGCCGTCCTGAATCCTAAGGTTAAACTCGCATTTCTTGCGTATTCTGGCATGGATTTTCACGACAGGGGGCATTTTTTATATCTTCCCATGAGGCTTGAATTTCAGATTGCTCTGACTGTGTAGCAACTTTGTATATATTGTTGAATTTGCGTTTCATGGTCTATGGTCTGAAAATTAGAAAACTGACGAAGTCAAATGCAAGGTTTATAAAATAAATAAACGACCAGTGTATCTTTTTTTTATACGCAAAGAGAATCTAAAAGAAGATTGACATAACTTTATGAAGTCAGTTTAAATATCGCGCCAATAATGAAGATGAACGTCAATAATTCCGAAACGTTGCGTTTAAACCCCTTACTCTTATACATCGTTAAACGCCTCTTTCAAAATCAGTAATCAGTAAATCAGCAATAATATACTGGGTGTTCCAACTGAAAAAAAAAGTTGGTAATGAGCACGACTAAACGAGTCACACATGAAAATATAATAAATGAAAAGTCCAAATTATCCCAAGCAACTTTTGTATTTAACTTTTTGTTCAATCTCTTCTAGGGTGGCTATTTCTGAACGAGGTAGAGCAAAATCGACTTACATGTCAAGGATTCGATGTTCACTTCACTACCAATCGAGTATAGTGCGTTTCTCAATTTTCAGCCCTTTTGCATATCTTCCCGCGCACTAGCTGAAGCAACAAATGCTGGAAAAACTAAAGTTTTGACTAGTTTATGAAAGAAACATAAATTCAAGCCATATCGTACCAGAGATGTCCACCAGTTACATGAAGGGAATGACGGTAGAAGAATACAATTTTGCAACTGCTTTATCGAAAAATACAATGAAAACGTGAATTTGCCATTGTCTATTATTTAGATTAATGAAGCGGGAAGTGACTGTTCCAGAATATTTAACAGATACAATTCTTAGAAAACGCTCATGCAAATCGGCAAAGTCGTTTTGCATTTAATGTAGAACGAATTTTCCGAGGTAGATTTTTGGCACCTAATTTTTTTACTGAAAATCTGAATGGTTATATAAATATTTTGTGAACATATGTTGTTCCATTTTTGAAAGGCTTGCCATTCGTACTTGTATTTATTACCTGCAAGATGGTTACCCGCTCAGAACGCAAGGATTGTAAGTGAACTTTTAAATAAAGAGTTTGGATAATGTTGGATTGTAATTAGAGGGCCCACTTTGTGGCCTGCGAGATCGTGTCATCTAACTCTTCTAAACATTTTTTATCGTGGAGTGGAATTTTCCAAACCAAAGCAGAGTTATAGGAAGCCACTCGTGAAGGTTTTGCTTCCACCAATCCTATAGAGTTACTGAATAGTTGCCATTCAGTACGAAAAAGGTGTGTTAAGTGGATTGAAGAGGGCGGCGCCTAATTTGAGTATATGTTAAGATATTTCAATATAATTAATGCAAAAGGTGAAATTTAAATATTTTGCATTCTAATATATATTGTGTTTTATTTATTAGATTAAAATAATTATACTTTCCTTTTCTAAATAATCAAAATCATTAAAATGAAACATTAAAAACGATATTTATTATTATATTATTGTTTTTCACATAAGTTATTTTAAGTTGGTCTCATCTTTTTTAAAGGTTTCTCTCTATGTGACTTTTTTTGAAAATATTATGCACAATTCAAATAATCCCTATATTTCCGCATTTTTTCATCACAGATACCATCATACACTTCTATATGGCTGAACAGGACGGGACACAGACTATAGTCAACTATGATTGTTATATAAAATAATAAAGTTCTATTAATTTATGAAAAAAAAAACAGAGAATTGTAGAAAAAATCTGAGTACACCACTGCATTTTGCCTTAAAAAATGTCCTAATAATGTTTTTATTCGATTCCAAAATGTTTGTAAATAAAAAGCTATGGGCAATTTTCAAAAGGGCCGAAAAATGAAAAAGGCCCTATATCTCGGTTGTTTCTTGTCCTTCTCCACGAATGCTTTATTTAGTTCAGCAATAGGTTTTTCTTATTAAAACACTCCATTTACGACCACTCTGTACAATAAAAATTAGGCTAAGTTAATTTTTTTTTATATTAAAATGATGCAAAAATAATTAAGAATAATTAAATGAAATATATTTGAAATAGTAAATAAACTTGAACAATACCAAATAATTTTCGTTTTGCTAAAAAAATACTTTTAACAAACATTTTATTATTTTTTTCATGAATAGTCTACGTTGTTTCGGGTTTGTGTCAATTGAATATATCGAATTAAAGGGGTCGACTAGAATGACAATGTTCTAATGAACGGGGGACATGGTCCGTTGCAATCCGAAAACAGTGCCGCTTTTACAAAAAAAGTTCGTATTTCTGATACACTTAAGTGGTCTTAAAATTCCGATGACGTAAGATTTGGCGCTCCTGAACAAAGTATGGCTGTTCGCGAACAGTATAGAAAGGGAAAATAATTGGGTGATTTCTTTTTGAGGAAACATTTCGAAAAGGGGAACAAAGGACTGAATAAGTTCGTAGTGGCGCCGAAGAACGCCCTCTCGAACTTCAAACAATCTCATCCGCGTAATGTACCTACCGTTTTAGAGAAACCTATTGAAAACGGGGATGTAATGGAGGAACAGAGCTGCTTTCTTTTTAAAAAAAACCTTCGGGATTATATCGGGTTTTTGTGCTTTTTCCGAGAGCGAATCAAAACCGGCCACATTCAGACCACATTCGAATTTTTAAACCTTAAATTAATTAAGGAAGCAGAAATCTTCCATGATCCCGAAATTTAATAATCGTTTAGATTTTATTTCCGGCCGCAGAAGCGAAACGGAATTTTTTAAAAATGTTCGGTTGACGGACGAAATTAAAAATTATTCGCTAGTTTAAATCTGGAACGTCAGGACAAGGCGACGTAAAAGTCAACTATTAGAGAATTTTTCTTAGACCGGGTTATTATGTTTCGAACCGCCGAAGTAAGTATTCAATTTATGGAAACAGTATAGGACACTATACGATAACAACCGATTGGTATATCTGCCAGAAGATCAATACGATATATCCAAGTATTTATTGCCCTTATGAAACACATTCTGTGAAAAAAAGTCTTCCATTTTTATTTTAAATCGCATTGA